GAGGGGAGGAGGATCTGATTCCTTCATTTCATCAGTTACCAGGAGGAACACCAGGCAACTCCACCCCAGAAAAGCTGAGCAGGACACAAAGACCCCCCAATGCCTAAAATCCAAAAGGGAAGTTTAATTTGCCCTTCATTACCTCATACCAAAAAGGCTCACTCCCATTTTTAATGAACCTAGATAAGCATCCGCTATAAATAAGGTACTGTCCTGCACCCCACAGGGGAGGTCTTCAGTAAAATTAAGCCGCACCAGGAAGAAAATATGGAAAGTGTCCTAATATGACAGAGACCAGAGAAGTTCTACGCGTGGCCACTCTCTAGCAGGAGAGGGAGGGCTTCTGGGAGGAAGTGGACGTGTGTTGGGCCAAAGAAAGATGGGGGGATTAGTCCAGAGTAAAGAAAAACAGGTTATGTCTTAGGAGATGGCAGATTGGCCAGTTGGCTGGAATGGAGGGCTCCAGGAGACACGGGGAATGTTGAAGGTCGGGATGATTGTAAAGCTAGAAAAGGTATGTTGGGAGCACACCACAGAAGAGGAAAGACCAAGAAAGGGGCCTTTATACCCTTCGTTCCACTCTATCCTCAGCACAACTCCAAGAAGGAAGCATCTTTACAAAGGAGGCAAACTTGAGAAGTCAAGAAATTTGTGTTTGAGCCGGACGCGCTGGTGGCTCACGCCTGTAATCCTAACTACTCAGGAGGCTGACATCTGAGGATCGAGGTTCAAAGCCAGCCCGGGCAGGAGAGACCGTGAGACTTCTTTCTCCAATAAACCACCAGAAAACCGGAAGTGGCGCTGTAGCTCAAGTGGTAGAGTGCTCGCCTTGAGCTGAAGAGCTGAGGGACGGCGCCCAGGCCCAGAGTTCAAACCCCACGACCGACCAAAAAAAAAAAAAGAAATTTGTGTTTGAGTCAAATACTCCATAGCTGAGCTCTGTCCACCCGTTGCTCAGGCCAGGAGTCTGACCATACCCTCTGGAAGTGAAGGGGAAATCATACTTGCTTGCCCTCCTGCCAGCTAAGAAAAGGCAGGACTGATCAAAGCAAATCCCAGGCCTGAATTACAGGCTACAGAGGAATTTGCTTGAGGAATTTGCAGGACAGCATATCCCAGAATATGACGACTTAATTTCCCCCAAAGAAACTAGAACTTGGAGGAAAGAATCCAGGGAGGGAAGTATGGGGACGGGGATGGATAGAATACTAGCCACAACAGAGTGTTACAAATCTCAGAAGTCAAGCCATGGCCTCTCTTCCTCCTCCTCCTTCTCCTCTTTTTCCTCCTCCTCCTCCTTCTCTTCCTCCCCCATCCTCCCCCCCACATTTATCACTCCAGGGATCTCTAAGTTTGGAAAGTAACTGAGACATTTACAGCATAATTACCCAAACTTCAAAATGGTCTAATCCACAAAGCTTACCAGCCTAGGTTCCTAATTCCAGTCTTATTAACTAAGAGATCTTGCTACAACTTCAGTTAGTGAAGCATGAGGTGGGGAAAAAATGTACTGTGATCTATTTTTTAAAAAGAAAAAGAAAATTAGAGAATGGGGGGTACACAGAAATGGAGGGCTAATGGGTGAATGCAGCAGTGGTACTCACTAAACACTATGTGGAACATGAACTATACAACTTGTGGGTGGGGATGGGAGGGAAAAACTGAGAAAAGGTGAGGGAAGGAGTGACATTGTCCAAACAGACATGTACTTTTTACCTGTCTTAAGTAACTGTAACTCCTCTGTACATCAGCTTTATAATAACAATAAAATATTTTGAAAAATGAAATGGTTGCCCCTGAAGTCATGCTTCTGGGTAGCAGAGTCTTGGGATTTCACTGCAAGACAGGAGGCGCCTCAGCCTTGTCTGAAATTGTTTACAGCACATGGACAGGTTCCACACCAAGGCACATTTGGTGGAACTGATTTAAGGCTCTCATTAAAATGTTCCTTTGTTGAGCTGAGACATCCCCCTTAACCCCCAGAGGAGATGCCAGACCTCCTGTCCCAAGCCCTCAGCCTGCCCTAACTCCCCCTCCCCCCCACTACTACCCAACACCAGATTCACTTCCATGAACATCAGAGACTTCTTCTCATGGAAGGAATTTAGCATCACTGAACGACAGCCTCCACCAGAATCTCCCCTTGACTTCAGAACTCCTGCCCACAGCCGGGAAAGCAGCCACATCAGGTAGAACCACACTCCAAAACCCAACCAGGCGACCCAGGAGGCCTGTGAGCTCAGGCTGTTTGCCCATATGGCTGGGGCCCCATCCTAGCTGTGCAAAAAAACTTCCATACTTCCTCTGGGAGCAGATGTGGATTCTGCCATGAGCAATAACCACCATGCACATCAGAAGAAACACAAGGGCAATTCCAGAAACAACTTTTATGAATAACGCCCAGGGCTGGTTCTTTTCCTGGGTTACATTTAGCTCTCCTTTTACAATGGGGGGGGGGGATATACTAGCCGGTCCCCCTCTCACAGCTGGCAGGCCAGGCAGATGACAGGAAAGGCAATTGCCCTCCCCACTGCAGCTCTTCAAAGGAGGGGGAAAGTGATAAACTAGGCAGATCCCCAAACAGAGCTGTTTTAAGGACCACCACCCAAGATTTTGTGTTTGGAAAAGAGGGGAGGCGGAATCATTTCTAGACCAGGCTGTTTTAGGACCTACTTTTGGGCAGCAAAGTGATTTCCTGTAGAGCACTTTTCCAACACCTCAATGGTGACACTCAGGTGTGATCGAGCCAGGAAATAAAAGCTGCAGGAGGGAACGGGGCAGGGGGCAGGAGGGGGGGGGGTCCAGTTTGCCCTAGAGATGGGATCCACACCCTGGTCAAAATGCTGAGGCCCTCCAAGAAAAGTCTGAGCCAGGGAGCTCTTGTTTAAAGCCTTTCTGTCCTGAGGGAGAGTTTTCTTTCCTCACAGAGGACAGACAGAATGGAAATCCAGGAAGGAACAGAACAAACCCTGTCCACACCTTGGCAGGCCGGCCATGCCCGATTTTGGCAGAGGCCTTCGCACATTCGTCACCGAGGCAGCCTAGGACCCTGCGCTCCCGGGATTCCACCCTGGCACGGAGCGGGCTCAGGCCCAGGAGCCGGGGGAGATAGCACAACCCTTTATTCTTCCCTCCTTCCGCGCTCTGGGGCAGGGCCATCTGGGGTCCCGGCGTCCCCCGGAACTTGCGGGAGGGGAGCGGCGGAGGTAACAAAGCTGGAGCGCTGCGCGCCGCAGGTCGCTCGGGCTCTGGGCCCGGGCCGGCCGCGCTCACCTGGGCTGCGCCCGCGGGGGTCGCCGCGCCTCCCCGCCCCCTCCCCCAGGCAGCCCGCACCCGCACCTCTCGCGGGAGTGGGGGACCCCCGCCTCGAAAAGAAACTCCCCACCCCGGGCCCGGGAGCCGGCAACTGGGAAGCAAAGTCCCAGGCCGGGAAACCCGGGAGAAAGTCTCCGGAGACTGGGAACATCCGCCCCGGGCGGGAAGGGAGAAGGAACCCCGAGGGCTCCCGACCCTCGTCTCGCCGCGTCCTTCCCACTGCGGTCGCCCCCCCCC